AGGAGCAGGTTAAGTTAGCTATTGAGTTGGCTAGTTCTTTGAGGAATGGAGATGATGGATGTGGTGGTGATAGTCAAATGGTTTCTTCTGATGACGTAGTAGTACCAATGGATGCTGAAAATGAAGTAGCGAGAGTCGGAGAGCAGATTGATGATGATTCATATGCGGTGTTTCAGAACAAAGAAATGGAAGTTGAGACTGGGTCTTGTGAGCAAGAGAGTCCGAGAATCAGCTCTTTTACTTTGGCGCCTCAGCAGTTTTCTACTTTGTGTAATAACTCAGGGAATGTCGTAGAGTCTTGTAGTGTGCAAGGTGCAGACACCACTTTTAGCAGTTCGTCACAAATTGTAGATGTTGATTCGAATGCCAATGCTGAAGATGAGAAAGAAACAAGTTTACAGCTCAGTAGCGAGGTAACATTTCAATGTATTGATTTTAAACTTTGAATAGGATTTTTCTGATATATATATATAAAAATTTGATTCTTTCAGCAACGGAGTGTACGCAGGCGCTGCTTGAGTTTTGATTTGGGAGGAAATTACAAAAGGGTACCTCTGCGTGATTCCACAAACGATCTTCCCCTTGATTTTACATCTATCAACGAAACTCCTAGTCGTCAAAAGTGTATAGGCTCCAGCAAACAAGAGACTGATGAGATTCTTCTACCCATCCCACGAACAATTGGCTTGCACTTGAATGGTTTCGTGAAACCCTCAGTCTCAAGTGAGGGAAATAAGTTTACTTTTAAAGATGGCTGTGTTTTATCTCATGGTGAAGATGAATTCTCAACTCCTGTTTCAACAACAAGAGATTTGGTTTCCTGTGATATCAAAATCATGGAGGAGGCTCTTGAGAGATCTATGGAAGGGGAATGGGTGGAGGAACTTGGTACCTGTAAGCGCTGTAGATGTAAGAAGTCCAAATGCTTGAAGCTGTAAGTTCTTTTTTAACTATCATTCTTCTCAAAAAAAATTCTCAAGTTACTTTCATATCATGTGAGATCTTTTGCTTCATCTGTTACAGGTACTGTGATTGTTTCGCTGCTGGTCTATACTGTGTTGAACCTTGTTCGTGTCAAAATTGTTTCAATAAACCAATTCATGAAGACATAGTTATGAAAAGTCGTCGAGGTGTTGAAGCCCGCAACCCATTAGCTTTCGCTCCGAAAGTAGTCTTGACTTCTGGCTCTGCTACGTATTTTGGGGTAAGACATATCATTAGATCAACAATGACCTCAAATTCACAAAGAATAAAAAATAGACTTTACTAACTTGTCTTGATTTGCTGATGAAAGTAATGTTGCAACGAGAGAGGCAGTGACATGCTATTACGTATCTCATGTTTGTTTAATACAATTATAGGAGGAGAACAACAAGACTCCTGCGTCAGCTAGACATATGAGAGGATGCAACTGCAAGAGATCAGGCTGTTCAAAGAAGTATTGTGAATGCTACTTGGTATTCACTCGCTTTCTTCGCAATGTTATTTTATTTTTTACATATGTCCCTTCATTTCTTATTTAATCATTGGTTGTTACAATGCCTTCTTTATCAAGATGGGTGTTGGATGCTCGGCGAGATGCAGGTGCATAGGTTGCAAAAATGTTCCTTGTCTCACAAATGGTAATTTTTCAAACTTCAAATGCCATATCATTCGAGTTAATCAGAACTATTTTGAGATTGTTTTTTCGTTTATTTCTCAGAGCAAGTCCACTTTCATTGAGTAGTAGAATCTGACGCGGTTACAACCAAAGAAGGAGCTAAAGATCAAAGTCTAGTTTAGTAGGTATATATATAAGTATATAATAATATACATGAAAGATAATCCTTGCTTAGGACATAATGTGTGTCTGTTTGATTCTGCTCTTGTTTAAAGTTATAGCGTTAGCTTTTTTGCACTAAAGAAAGTTTTGTAATGGTGTTAACGACTACTTGTCTTCTTTCTCTTATACTCCTGGTTTGTTTTCAGACTATAAAAAAGAGAGACAACCATCTGATTATTAAACAAAGTAACAAACATATCAACACTTTAATTTGGTCGATCTTGGCATCTAATCACTAGCATATGGAGCTTGTCTCAATCGCGGTCAGTTCGAAGGCATGGGAAACTATTATGAAGTCAAAGCACATTGACAACCACAACAACAATGGTGAAGATCGTTTTTCAGTAAGGTTCGGAGTAACCAACACATTTATGGAGTTTTATTCGTTAAAACTGAAGTTGATTTGTAAAAAGATGGTTTAGTGACGATGATGATCACTCCAAAGAGAATATGATAAAGATGCAAAACAAAAAAGAAAATTATGCTGAAGTTGTCTATGAATTATCCAAAAACTCGCAAGTTTATACTGAGAAAAGTCATCAAGACACCAAAACTGAAACAACGAGTGTGAAAGACAAAGCGTTAAAGAAACTAAAGCTTAGAAGACAAAACGATCGCTCAATTCTAACATTTCTTAAAAAGCCTCTCTCTCTTAAGCTCCAATGATCTCAGTAGGTTCTTCCACTGCAGTCTCATCGGCTGGCCTGTCAACCTTCACACCAACATCCTCTGCTGTGTAGTCTCCGTGAACCTAAAGAAACACAAACATTCCATAAATATAAATCTTTGACAATGAGTCATACAAAAAAAATCAAAACAAGAAGTCTTGTGATTTCTCTTTACCTCCATGAGCTTTCCGAGGTCGAATTTGGGAGCCTTGAGGATCTTGACTTTACGGATGAAAACATTCTGAAGAGGGTAGATTCCCTGAGTTGCCTTCTCAATCTCCTTCCCAATAGATTCTGGAATAAACTTGGCAACAAGCTCCTTGAGGTCACATGACGAAGCTTCCTTGATCATGATCTCCCTCATCTTGCTGCGAATCTGAGCAATGCAACACAAACAAAAATAAGGCTCAAATAAGAAACAGAAAAAGATGACACAAGAAAAGACTTCGATACAAGTTTAACGAATATAAATACCTGACGGATTTGGCTGGATTGAGCATAGCAAGTTCTCTTGACCTGGTTAGCACGTCTCTTGGTGAAAGCAATGCAGAAAAGCCTCAAAGTGAAGTTATCAGTGGTTTTAACATCAACATGGGACTCAATCAAAGTCTGCCACTTTTTAACCAATGACCTGAGTTTGTCTGTTGTGAAGTCCATACCCTAATGATCAAACAAAAAAAAAGTAAAATCTCTAGAATCCACTAGAAACCAATGTTTAGTCATGTGTCCTTACCCAGAACTGGGTCAAGACATTCCTGCCCTGAACATCTTCAGCTCTGAGACGGATCTTCCTGTAAGAGTGATCCTCATCACCTTGAAGATCAGCAAGAGAAACCTCGAAAACTCTGTGTTTCAAACCCTCTGAAGCAATCTGGTATGTTTCAAAACACACACAACAACAACATTTAATATACATTAAAAAAACATACCATAAACTAAAACATTGACTTTCAATTACACAACTATAGCAATCAATCTAAGAACCATTTCACTAAGTTCCAACAAATCTCACGAGCTTGTAAGAGAATAAAGACAGTTAAAAATGTTACCTTGGTACCCTGAGTTCTGGAAACAAGTGTCTTTCCGACATTTCTGTTAGTGAAGTTAGAGGGAGCCTTGATATCATACCAATCCTTCTTGGAGAAAGGATCAACACTGTTTCGAAACAACAAATCAATTACAAAGACTGCAAATAACTTTTAAAAAGCTCAAATTGATTTGTAATAATACTTACATCTTCTTCTTGCCTCCCTTTCTTCCTTTGGAGATTCTCTTGTTCTTCCCTACGGCCATGGCTTGAGGATACTTAGCTCAACGACGAAGTGAGAAGCTCAAGCAAAGATGTATAACCCTAATAAAATGATACGGCGCTTGTTGAATTTAAACATGCATCTAGGGTTTTGAACTGAGATGTTGTTACTGGGTATTTTCACTTAGCCCACATAGATGGGCCTTTTGTAGCCCAGCAACTGAGAGTATTGAGAATTATTAGATTTTAAAATTTCTGGTCAAATAACCAACATTGATATACTTTGTAAAGATTATTATACTACATTTAACAAAATCAAAATGAATTAGAAAAGTGTGATGAAATTAAAAGTATTTTAAATTTAAAAAAAGTTAATATTGAAAACTTTGATTTATTTCATCAACATTTCATGTTCTTAAACTACTTGCAGTGTGTGACATATCACCTAAAATATGATTAATCATTTAATATAATTAGTGAATACACGATTACTAAAATTTCACATTCTTTGCCAAGTTTTTTTTTTGTTTTCTTTTGTTAGGATTGAATAAAATTTAATTAACTTGATTAAACACATCTAGTAAACTGTGTATCTGTGAGTCATTGTATAAAAATCCAATAGCGAAAATAACATAAGCGATAACAAGCAGTGCACAAAGTCTGACTGCAAAAAGCTTAAACCAAAAAGGAAAATGTGAGGCAGCGTTTTTGCGCTAGTGGTCTCTGATGAACTTAGAGCTTCATGCTTCTTAACGCGGACGAGAGTAGGCTGAGTTTGGCGGGAGCTTTTTGCTTGTACTCTTTCTCCAATGCACTTGCAGCCAGAGACTGAAGCTCTGGTGCAGCCACGTCCTTGTCCTCTTTGTTCCTGCCTCTTGAGAGTTGTGCGATTGCTGATCCACACTGAATTCCACAAAGATAAATCACTTAAATTAGTGTCACTTGGATGCCACAGTGGATTAAACCGGTGTGAGAAAGAAAGGAGATTTTACCAAGCATATTCCAAAGAGGGCTCTTGTGCTTTTACCACCGGTTAAGTCTATGGTTGATGCATAGTACTTTCTTGCTGCTATGAGGTTCTCATGTCCACCAATCGTATAGAGTACCTGATTTTGGAAAATTTATATTAATAACACAATACCAGGTGTTCCGAACAGATAGAACTTTATAAAGTTTAAGATGCATGCTCCACACAGTGTCTTAAACAGACTCCCTGGTGATGAGCAGCATGACTTATATTACATAGACTTACCTCGGCATATGCTAAGTGGTACAATGGAAGAGTAGGGTTAGATAGAATGAGCTCTTCGTAGCAGAAAGCTGCTTGTTTGTACCTGTTACAGATTGTATATTAGATCGGGTTGATTAGAGAGAATCATAAAAGTGAAAAAAATATCGTCAAATGTTTGCTTGGTGAGTTTTTTTATCAAAAAGAGTCTTGAGGATAGAGAGTCGCACATTTGCAAGGAAACATAAATTTCTGCAAGTTCTCTCCAGGCATCATGATCAGCCATGAATCTACATAAAGACAGAAAAGCCACGAATCATGGTATGTTTCAACTGATATGCTTCTACTAAACCAGGTTGGGGTTAGTAAGTACTCACACTTCAAGATATTTGTTAAGATGTTCAATGGCTAAGGAAGGTTTGCCCTGTGCCTTGGCCATAGCCACCTTTCTTTTGTGTATTACCTAGACATCGAGTTTTACTTAACATCTGGTCGCAGCTTGTGGGTAGTTTGATGAAGCAAAGATGTGGAAACTTACTTGATCGAGTGGATTATCCTCCAAAAGGATTGAATAGGCTTTCTCAGCCTCTTCCCACATTCCCTTAGCTTCTAGAAGCAACGCCTCCAGCTTTCCTGAAATATATTACAAAGATGCAGCTCAGATTAAGATCAAAGTAAACTAAACTAGATGTCTGCAGAACCCAACTTTCATAGAGAACATCAGCGCACAGATACACACCAAGAAGAATCCAAAATGTCAAAATAGACCAAAATAAATCTTGTGACTAAGGACGGGGAGTAAACAAAGCGTACACACGTAGACCATATGAATTTAGCTTGGCTTAGCTTGCATACTTATTTCATAAATTATTCTTACTTTTGGGAAGGAAATGGGAGAAAAAGGTTATGGATTCCTAGATGGTCATTGGTTTACCCTAGTAGCTAGCCTAGGGAGTGTGATGCGAGCATATTATGAAGTTCACACAAGATTGAGAAGTGCTCAGTTTCTCAAAGAGTTGATATGGACTTACCCACACGTTTGCTCTCCGGAAATTTCTTCTGCAGAACCTTGATGCAATTCTGCAAAAATATAAGTCCGCCTTTTTTGTGAGATATCCAAATTGTCTTCAGAAGAATTAACTAAGTGTGAATTGAGAAGAATGATTTGCAAGGCAAAGGCGATACAATATATATTAATCTTCATTTAAATAATGCATCCATGATTTTTTTACAAGATATATACACATACAACCCTATGTATGTAAGTAATCAACAAAACATGTTCATAAAAATAGGAACATTCTCAAGGTAACCAGTTGAAAGCGTAAAGAGAAACTCACCTGTGCAACAGCAAGAGATTGACAGTCCATAGCTGCAATTGCTACCTGTTCATATAGCGTCCATTCTGCACACACAATAAAAAAAAAAGAAAACACTTAACTCCTTATGCTCATAAAACAAACATCAACTCTTTCATTGCATTTCCACAATCAGTTAGTGTAAATTCAACCTCTAATCATCTAAGACAACAAAAAAAACAATCGGAAAGATCATATGACAAGTAGAACCCAAATTAAACTCCATACATATACAAAAAACAAAACAATCTCCATAAAGACAGGTTCTTCTGAAACAAAAAGTCACTCCTTTACATTTTCAGCTACTAAATGTGAACAAATCAATGTAAGAAAAAACCAGATATATAATCAAAAATATAGATTTGAGAATCACATCAACTAAACGCACTAAATCCAGCACATCACTAAAGAAACAGAGAATCGAATATACCATCAGGACCAAGAGCGGATCGCTTTCCCGAATCGTTCAAGATGAAGAGACCGTGCTTGAGCACAAGCTCTGATCGGCGAACCTTGAGCTTACGAACGAGGCACAGATACTCCCAAACACCTCCTCCTCCATTCTCGACTTGATTCTCCAGCTGGTTTAGTTCCCTCTCCTCCGTCTTCGTCACCATCTCTCTCTAGGCTCGCCGATTCGCTTGTGGATCTGATTGTTTGTTGTTAGTGGGAAGATCGATCAGTAAAGTCGCCTTTCTACTAAAGAAGACAATTTTAATTGATCCGGTTCGGTTTCATTTACGTACCGTAAATTATCGGTTTGATTCGGTTTATACTGGCTCGAGTTAATGATGAGTATGTCATTTGGAGATATTAAAAGCCCAATAACCGTTGGCAAAAAAAAGCCCAATAATCCAAAACGCTGCGTTTCAAATAATAATTGGTACCAATCTGGTGGTTTAGAACGTAGTCGGTTCGGTATGATTAAAAAACTCAAGAAACCGGTTCAAGTTAATGCTCTCATGGAGTATTTGATTTATGGATACCGATCCGGTTTAGAACATTTTTATTGGTTTGGAGATCCGAGATTAAAAAGCTAAATTATCCGAAACGCTGCGTTTTAGATAAACACTGCATTCGATGAAGGCAATGAAACTAAACAAAAGTGTTTCGTCTTGTTTGTTGTCTCTGCTAAAACCCTACTCGAGCTTTCACTGGACTTCGACAATGGCGGCGTCAGCTAAAACCTTCGAGGGTATGAAGACCGTAGATGAATCTGACGTGGGCATCTCCTGTTTCATCTCCCAGCTCCCTGGCTTCCGCGGGATTCTCAAACAAAGGTTGTAAGATCAGCAAACTCTGATAAAAGTTTTATTTTGGTCAAAGAACGATTTTTCATGTGTTTACTTCCTTAATTTTGCTTTGTTGGTAACAAGTGGATTCAAAGATGCAACCTTTGTGAAAATAATTAAATTGTTTGGTTGACATTGTGATCTGTTGTGGTGTGAAGTGATGCATAACACTGCATGTTTTCTTACATTAATGGTCGATATAGTTGAATTATTTTTTATTTGTGTTTGTGTTTGGTAGATACGCAGACTTTATTGTTAATGAAGTTGATATGGAGGGCAATGTTGTTCGTTTGACATCTTTGGACGTCTCTCCTGAGATGGTTTGTCTAAGACTTTGGATTCACACTCACCTCATTCCATGCGTTTGTTTGTCTATGCCTTATCCAATGCGATGTCGTTTTGTTGTTCATGTGTTTCAGGATGTGAAGGAGGAAGACAAACAGAAAAGTTCAGATGATGTTCCCCAAGGCTATGCTTCTGCAATTGAGTCGTTCAGAGCTCTTTGCAGTGTCTCTGATGCAGAGCGTATGGAAAGTTTGGTTAATCAAGTCACTTCAGGAACTGAAGATGAAATCTCACCAGTTGTTCTTGATCCAAGTTCTGACAAGTCCAAGAGAACTGTATGGGATTTGATTAAATGCATAATTACATATCTACTAATCAAGTTATAACGTTTTCTTATACCACTCTTTCAGGCTATCCACAACTTTGTTAAAGAAAAATTCAAGTTTCTTGTGACCGACACTGTAGATGGTCCAGATCCTAGTTCGAAATGCATTCGTGTGCGAGTGAATTCAGGAAACAGTGGAGGTAAAAGATCGAAAAAGCGGAAGGAGAGAGGTGATAAGCCGTTTGATAGTAGAGGTTCAGAGCATTGGCCAGCGGATGTTGGCAAGTTTCTCAAGTAATAGTTACAAAACAGCATTTATATGACATTACATTTTGAAGTCTATCTTATGTATCGCTAACCCACTTGATTATGAGTTGTAAATTTATAGGTTCCATCTTTACAAGGAGAACAAAGATACACAAGAGGCCTTGGGATTGATCGGAAAGATGCTTGGCGTTCAGGTGCTTCCCATCTCTTTTCTTCGTTAATTGAGCTATTTTTAGCCATTGTACTTTCATTGATAAGCTGCGTTCTAAATTGGCTCTTCAATGTTATAGCCAAAGTCATTTGGATTCTCTGGAACAAAAGATAAGCGATCAGTTTCAACTCAACGTGTAAGTAATCTGTACATTTTTCGTGGTAAGATGAGTATCATTGTCACAATACATAACATGAGACTGGTTTGGGCTTCTAGGTTACTGTGTTCAAACAACAAGCCAGCAAATTGGCTGCGCTTAACAAGAGATTGTTTGGGATTAAAGTTGGTGACTTCTGGTAAGCCAACATATCCTTAAAATGCTTTGAATTTTGTCTTGTTTTATGGTCTTAATGGAAATGATGATTGCTGGTACTTTCCAGCCTTGTCAAAGAGGGCCTTCTCCTTGGGCAGCTGATGGGAAACAGATTTACCATCACATTAAGGTGAGAATATAACTGGACACTGTATAAAATAAACTTGCTGATGTAACTTCCAAAATCTCTACTTCAAGGAAGCAAGTACTGACCTTATATGTATAAATTTCCATATTTTTTCAGAGGAGTGGTTGCGGATTCTGAAGAGACTATCAAAAAGTCTGTAGAATCCTTGGGGGAAAATGGCTTCATCAACTACTTTGGCTTGCAGGCATAATTTACCCGTTCTAGTAGCTAATACGACTTGCAAATCTGTATTGTAGTATTGAGTATGGCTTCTCGAAAAAATCAGTTGAATCTGAATTATGTTAAATTGCACTTTTATATGACAGCGTTTTGGAAGTGGTTCAGTACCAACCCACCATGTTGGAGCCGCACTACTGAAAGGAGAGTGGAAAGAAGCGGTAGACATGATTCTTGATCCAAGAGAAACTGATATCCTTTAACATAACTTAATCTGCAGCTACAAATGTTAATACCTGTTAAAAACATAGTAGTGTCTCTACATATATCAGATCGCAGCAATGCATAATTTTTCTTGACTTTGAACTTTTTTCCACAAAGGAATGTAGTAAATGAGGCCCGTGAATATTACAAAGAAACTGGTGACATTGACGGGACTCTGAGGCAACTACCGCGTTACCTCGTTGCTGAAAGAGCCATTGTAAGTATTCAGCTGCTCATGTGTTGGTTTCTGCCATTAGTGGGTTTCTATATTAATCACTTTTAATGTTGGGGTGTTATAAAACAGCTGCAGTGTCTGAAGAAATGTCCTGGGAACTACCTGCAGGCTCTGAAAGGCATACCCAGAACTTTGAGAATGATGTTAGAATTTTTCTATTTAATATATAGCTTTAGTCCCTTTTGGAACAGTTGCTTCTTGTGACTGGGATATGAAATGCCAAGCCAGGGGCAAAGCCCAAGTTTCTTAGCTTACTGTATATGTGATCCATGTTGTGCAGGTATGTACATAGTTATCAGAGCTACTTATGGAACAATGCAGCAAGTCTTCGCGTCCAAAAATACGGTACACCAGTTTTCTTACTTAGTTAAGTCTTGGCCTTTCTGTTTGTTTGTCAAAGGAGGTTTTAACTTTCACCTACTTGTTTTTGTTTTGTGGCAGGGACCAACCAAGTTGTGTTAGGGGACTTGGTGAGTACAAAGGTAGATGATGGGAAGAAAATCGTCGGCAGTTTGACCTCTGAACACAAGGAAAACAGTGAAGAGGCATTGGATTGTGACCAATTAGATGATACTGCTGTTGTTGATCTTCCAGGAGAAAGGAGTGACCTTGTTAAGGTTATTTTCTTTTTTGGGACATCTTACTTAGGCCGCCAATAGTTGAAAACTTTTGTCGCATGTCATCTTGTGTGAATATACCTTCAGATTATGATGAGCAAATGTAACTTTGGGTTTGAAATTTTATTAATGAGGTTTCTGCATTATCTTTTATCAGTGGTATTAGCACTATTCATGTTGTGCTACTTTCTTTTGTGTTCTTCAGGTTGTAGATACAGAAGACATCGAAGCTGGGACTTACTCGACCAGTGACATAGTCCTCCCTCTACCTGGGTAAGTTGCTTGCAGCCTTGCAGAATTTTCCAGTAGATGTAGATTGAACCTTTGTACTTCTTGAAACCAAAACACCTTTCTCTTTGCTTCAACAGTTCCAGAGTTATTTACCCATCCAATGACATTGCTGAAATTTTTCATGATTTGGCAAAGAAGGTTTGTTAAGCTAAACTCACTTGTTCTCAGTGTGTACTTTCTGAAGTTTTTCCATATCTTCTGATGGAATCTATAATTTTGCCCAGGATGGTATCAGCCTAACAGAGAGCATTCACGGTGTAAAGTAAATCCTCATATCCTCTTTTTCTTGTAGATCATTATGCCTTTTTCACTCTGCATCACCAGGAGCATCTACTTCATTGTTTCAGGGAATTCTCAATAACTAGCATGACTGGTGGTTATAGACGTGTTTTCCAGAAGCCAATTGACTTTGAATGGTACTCTAAACCTCCTCCAGTTCTGAGATCAAAGAATCTATGGAAGCAGAGACTAATTCCATGGGTAATTTCTGCAGGGAATTGCTGACTTACACTGACAGCAATAAACCATTGGCAGAGACAGACCTGGACAGGATAACCATGGAAAAGCCGATGGATAAAGTAGTATCTGCTGAAGAAACTGAATCAAAGAAATCCGATAGCAATCAACCAGAATCGTGTGAAACTGATTTGAAAGATGCTGAGCAGACGCAGTTGGCGCTCAAAATGGCTCTTACCCTTCCATCTTCTTGTTATGCAACAATGGCAATCAGAGAGCTGTTAAAGACGTCAACTTCTGTAAGTACTCAAAACTCCTTTTCATGGAGATTATCGTACATATGCTTCTTAAGTTCACAAATTAAAAGCTAAAACATATTCCGCAGAATCTGAATACTGTTTGGGAAAACTTATTGCAGGTTGCATACCACAAGACTCTAAACTAGTGATTAACACACTGCGTAGAAGCCATTCGTTCAGCATCTTTGGTGGTTGTGCTATTATGTTTTAGTTGCTTCAGAGTGTCAGAATCCTATCTTCTTTTCTTCATTTATCTAAGGAATGGAACTTCTCTAATCCAACGTTGTATACAAAATTTTTATTCTGAAATAAGTCAAACCCACAATGAGATTGTATTTTCTTGAACATGCATCAGATATACTCATTACAGAACACAAGACTAAGTAGTTAACTTTGAAACAATCACATCATCTGATCAATTAACTAACAAAAGTGGAAGTGTATTTTTCACGTCAACAACAGGTTAGAATCAAAGTGAACAGTTTCTCAATCTTCCAGCTTAGTAGTTTCCTTGAAGCTCTTGGACAACCAGATCGCTGTCTCTCTGGGTGAGACTTTGCCTGGACCAAATGGTCTCAGTAAAACATTCAGCTCATCGTACCTCTCATCTTGAAGTAATCTCGCACTGAATTCAAGCAATCCCTCCAACGCCTCAGCACGTTGCTGATAAGAACTAGGATCAAATCTCTGTCTTCTTATACCAGACGAAGCTCTGCTTGATGCTCCAGCAGTTGCATTCTGATCAGATGAGTCGCTCTTGTTTTCAGGGTATACTTCTTCATACTGATACACAGCCTTCATAATAGCTCCTTCTACGTTTTGGCCTGGCTCAAGGGTGAATTTGTCTTTCGTGACTGAGCAGTCTAGTGGTGGCTCTGGAGGTGGGCTGTATGAACCTCTAGACGATGCTTTCTTCTTCATCTTCCCACGCACAACCGGAACAAATGGCTCTTCCTCGTATGACGCTAGTGGAAACTCAATCTTGTCGATTCTTGGTGCGTTCATTGACACATCAGGAGATTTTATCTGGTGGAGAATGCTGGTTTTCGAGTTGTATAGAGAGCCTTTGATTTCTTTTACAGGTTTTCTTGAGCTAGGCATGGATGCTCTACGAATCAAAGCTGCTGATTTTCTGTTGGTTTGTTGTGACGAAACAGGAAGCTGCAACAAACATTATGGAAACAAACGTTCTTTACTCTGACAAAACAATCTGTAAAACCAGTAACGAAGAGCATTAAGAATAAATCACTTACTTGTCCACGGTCACTCTTAGGCTGTCTTGATCGCACAGGTGAGGCTGAAGCTCTCACTGGAACATACTTAGAACTTTTAGAAGCCTCTGTGGTTCTACAAACAACCGTTCCATCACCACTTTCATCTGTAGTCAAATATGCAGGCACAGGTTTTTTAATCGAAGAAATAGAATCTTCCTCGTTACCCCTAAACCTGCTTGGACCAAAGCTCTTGCTTTTTCCTGGAGGACGCCTTCTCTGTTCAGGAAAGCTGCTTCTCCTGGCAGATTCAGATTCTGGCCATTCCACAGGCAACACATTGTTTCCTGGATCATTCACTTTCAGATGAACCTTCTGGATATACGGCTGAAGCAACGGTTGTCTGAGAAGCTCGGCAGCCTATACAAAAGAAGAGAGATGAGTTTGTTCACTTTATGACCATATAGAAAAGGACATAAAATATGACGTACGCTTGGTCTGAGTTCAGGATTTTTCCGAAGCATGCTTTTAACCAGACACCGGCTGAAGAAAGCATTTGCCTAGATCAGTAAATTCTAATAGTTCTCACATTGAGACAGACAAAATCCTAAAATCCTACAGACTTACAAGGCAGCAGAATATTGCGCTGGAAGTGGAGGAACAATTGATCTGTTAATCCTGTTTATTAGTCCTTGCATGTCCTGTAACAATGTCAAACGCTTGCAACAGTCAGAAACATTTGATGAACATAAGCCGGAGGAATGTAAATGTAGATTTCAGAGCTTACAAAAGCTTTGAATGCAGGCTTCATAGCTGTCATCTCATACATACAACATCCTGAAGAAAAAAAAGACAAGATTCAGATGAATAATTTTTCGTTACCAAGAGATAAAGGTTAAGAATCTTAGCCATGGATGATAAACTTGCCAAGAGACCAAATATCAGACTTGGACCCGTAGGGTATATCAGCTAGTAGCTCGGGGCACATGTAGCTTGGAGTTCCAACCACCTGGTTTTGAAGAAGGGTAACTATCAACTCACTCTGGAACAAATCAATATGCGACAAATAATAATTAAGGTATACTTACTGAAGATGCGAGGTCATCAGATGTTAAGACCTTGGCAAGTCCAAAATCGCCTGCGAATATCATCAAGCCGATTGTTATACTATGGGTGGTTTTGTGTTAGGCTGATTAGGAAAATGATATAATGTTAAAAGTATCTCACCTAGACGTATATCTTGATCCTTTGTCAAGAATATGTTTGAACACTGGATAAACAAAATCGGTTAGTCCTGGAACGTATATCTAAAAAATTGTGTTGGTCCTGGGACATAACATCATAACCAACCTTGACATCGCGATGGAGAATGTGATTGGCATGCAAGTATTCAAGAGCCATCAAGATCTGAACAAGCCATTTGCAGAGTTTCTGATAACCAAACCAAAATTTTTTTTGAGAGATTCGAAATTTTGTATCAAGGGCTAGAATCAATCAAACTTTTCTTAGCACAAACCTCTTCAGAGAAGTGTACACCATTCATTTTCTTTATCGCTTCAGCCCTGCAAGGCAGAAGAAGCAGAAAAGGTCAGTAACTATATCAAAGAGCCTCTTCTCTAGTCAGTAGCCGAAAACTGCTGAGAAGGAATAAGCTTACATGTCTCCTCCTTTGCAATAGCCTATGATAATGCACACATAGCACCCCTAAAAGCACACATCCATAGACCATAGAGCTGGTTAGATTTTCAAATTTTATGTTAAAGAAACGAAAAGATATGTGTAGATGATACCTTCTCAACCCAAGAATCTTTATACTCCACAATGAATGGATTGTTTATCTTTCTAATCAACTCCATCTACAAGGAGATAACAGAAGGTTATTATTAGTCTACAGAACAAAAGTCAACATCTATAACTCAAGAATGATGTATGATCCATAACAGAGATTTAACAACAAAGCAACACAAAGGGCCATTGACTCTCCTTGGAGGCTTCCAAGAATTCAAACTCCATGATTCATGTCTAAAAGTGACAGAAAGAGCTCCATTTGTTCTAATTATATATGTGAATGTTTCAGAACACAGAAGAGATATAAAACAACCTCTTGATGAGCAGATCTTCTTGTCCTACCAGTCTGCCGAGCAAGCCGGATTTTCTTCAGAACATACCTTTAGACAGCAGAAGCAGCAGAACATTACAGATAAATCCAAATTTTCAGAGAAACACCATTATAATCAAGCAATCCTGTGTTAAGGTGAATAAGTACTTACAATTTCTTCTCATGCTTATGCCTCACAAGATGAGCAGACCCAAAGGACCCTTTCCCAATTTGCTCAAGAACCTCGTAATGCTCCATTGACAAACTCTGAAACTCACCTCCTTTCTCTTGAAATTTCGTCTACAGAATCTGACACCAAATGAAGAAAAAAAGACACATTGTACGATCAGTTTACCCTTCAATCTTGTTTCTTGAAAAGCAACACAAAACCGTTACCTCTCTGAAACATTATAACTATAACAAGAAACAGAATGAAGCAAAAGCACTCAAGAACGGGAAAAAAAAAGTGAAAACTTTCTTTCTTCGATTCTTCTTAACTTAAAAGAAAACTTGACACGAAGACGAAACAGAATCTTCAATCATAAAAATCGTATCTTTCGTCGTATAACATGCAATGGTTAAAGAAACTTCTAACGTTTTATTTTCTCCCGTGATGTAAAAAAAAACGAAAACTTTTCTGAGATAATCAGAATTACAGATTCCAATCCTCGCATTCACAGCTTTCTTTGCAGCCAATGTTATTAAGCCATTAAATCGCACAACGAAGAACAAAGCATTTTTTTGCTAAAGGAAATTTAAAAAAAACGGTTACTTTGGTTCAAGAGAGAAAGAACAAACCAGAAAACGGTGTCGTTGTGAGATTGAATCGGCAGATTTAAAAGAAGCAGTTGCAGCATTTCATGAAGGAGGAAGCTACTAAACGGTGACGTTTCTGGAGAAGGAGCAACGGTTGTGAAGAAGAGGCATTAGAGGAGAACGAAGAAGAAACTGTTTCGCCATGAGACCTGCTCTCTTCTCTCAAGAAGAGGAAAACGACAGATTTTGCCTGATGGAAGTGAATATGACTTTTGTAATATTTCCTTATATAAAATTTCAGACAACAATATACTTTAATATTTATTTAATGTTTTTACAATATATAATATCTGATTCACCCTTTTGTCCATTTGATGTGACTTTGCTTTATTTTGATTTTTTTTTTAAATAGAAAAAGCATAAAATGACAAGTTCGTCTTGAGATAAGATATATTATTTTTTGTAGTTCGTGCATTGACGATTTATTAGTATTGTTTTGATCAATAATTGATTAGGTCGCGTTACAAATTTGTTTGAAATGTTAGTGAATATTTTGCTAATATATAGACAATAGCCTTTGAGTATCACAAAAGTATTGATTGTTTTCATATTTCTTGTTAAATAGTCTTTGCTTTAGCTGCTGCCACATTATATTTGTTCATGTCTATAACGTAAATAAAATTAATATGTTGGCAAAAAGTACACTATTAATAGAAATAAATTTGAGTTTTCATTATTGTATAACTTTTGTAGAAAATACTATACTATACATAAACACTATATCTAAGATATTATTTAATACTAATACAATTAGTTTATATAGTTTACAACCAAATTTCTCAGCAAATTTCAAATTTTAACCAAATGAGAATAAAAGTAAAACTAAAGATAAGTTGATGATATAGCTTTTGAAAGGAAAAATCGCATTGTCATTATATGGTGTTTAGAAGAAAGAATATCTTCATCGGCTAATTCTCTTATATTTTTGGCAAAATCTAGCTTTCTTGTTAATCACATAAAGTCTTCTTTTTTTTTTTTTTTTCACACATAAAGTCTTCTTAAACTGATAAAATATCACTACTTATATACAAATTGTTTGATTTTCTCTTAGTTTGTATTTTTACTGTTGTCTCTTGAACAACTTTTTGAATGACTATTGTATAGGCAACAAAAAGGTTGATTTAATAGTTGATGCTTTGTTCCACTCATCCACGTAAAACACAGTAAGCATTGTAATTAAAATATAAATTCTTAGGGATCGTTATGAATTTTCTAAAATCTAAAAGTGTCATTCTCATGAACAGATTATGTTTCGGCACTGTCAAGCTCACGGTTAAGCCTAGCTTAAATAATTATAATGAGAAAATTAAAGAATACTTATCCATCTAATCCACTCGTGCTTCTTGTCGTTTCTTTGAAATCAGGTGCATATAATTACAGGCATGAGTAATGTATAATATTTACTAGTGCTCCCCAATATGTTAACTAATCATGTATCAATACTAACATATACGTATGATGTATATTATACAGTGTATAAATGACACCACTGGTGCAAAGTAATAAACGGTCAATACATTAACATAGTGGCACCCAACAACACTTCAAGATTTTTTCCTCTTAAACTTATTGGTTGATAGAAAATTGATTGATAAAAATCTAGTGCGAATAAAACATGTCTACTTTTATTCACCACCAATATAAAATCTATAGTTGTTTACTTGTTTATATTCATTTTTAAAAAAGGATGTTATAAGTTTTTTGCAAGTTTTTGTTCGTCTTACTTTTTTTTTTTCCGTCTTACTTCACACCCACTAATAACTTTTCCTTGTGCATGAAACTATTTATTAGGCCTTTGGTAGTTTAGGGCAAAGGCCAAACCGCGTGAGCATATTAAATTTTTTAATAACCACGTCAACGAGAAATCTATTTGTCTTTTTTAAAAGGTCACCAGATTACAGCTATGTCACTATGTAAGTAACTCTCATTATTTTGTTTTGTTATTTACTGTCGAATTGTTCAATCAAAAGTGCAGGTTGCTCAGTGTTCAGTCCAGTCAAATTTTCTTTATTCTCTTCGTGTCCTTTTTCACCGTGGATGTATTATACAATATATGGATTCAAAAAATTTTAAATGAAATTCAAGAGAATAAATACATTTTCTATTCTAGTAGAAATGACTAAAATTGTATCGGTAGAGCTAGTTTTAGCCTTGTGGCAGTAACGTATATTTGATCCCCAATAACATATGTTTAATCCGCAAATAACAGAAATTGAATATCACTTAATATTAGTTCATAAATTAAATTCATAGAATCCGTCATATATGATTTTCATTTTTGAAAAGAGAGTTTTAATAAATCCTGCTTTGAATTTAACAACAAGTAATTTTGATTTTTGATTTCTAAAAAAAAAAAATTGAAAATCTAATAAAACCCATAAGCCCATAAGTACTGAGAACCGAGCAGGCCTAATACACATTGGGCTTCAAAAACTTAGCTTATATTTAATGAAGTGTAACCTTCTTATCCAATAACAGGTGTATAAACACGACGTCGTTTGCTTCTCCGCTCCGTCGTCTACAAGTCTAATTATTTTCTTCCATTTTCTCCATCTTCAGATTTCTTTGCAGCGAAAACGAAACAAACTCACGATGTCTGCCGAATCAGCCAGCTCAATCCCCAAGGGACAGGTCAATTATTTTTTATTATTTTAGATTTATTGTTTTTGTATTTATAGCAAAAGAATTTTGAATTAATGGGCGTAAAGAATATCTAGGGTTCTCTCTAATTGAGAAGTTCGAATCTTTGGCTCTTCTCATGTATTTGATTGTTGTGTTTGTTTTTTTTCAAGGTTGATTTGTTAGATTTTATCGACTGGTCAGGTGTTCAATGCCTAAACCAAAGCTCAAGTCACTCCTTACCCAATGCTCTCAAGCAGGTTATTACTAGTTTCAATGTGTTTTTCTGTTAGAAACTGGATTTTGATTGATTGATATTAAATGTGTGTTTGGAAATATTGGAACATCTTAATGGAAACTGAATTGTTTGATTGTTGTTTTTTATGTCCTGAGATTGATTTGATTTGTTAAATAGGGTTATAGAGAAGATGCTGGGTTGAACCTGGAGAGTGATGCTGATGAACAACTTCTAATCTATATTCCTTTTAACCAAGTTGTTAAACTACATTCTTTTGCTATCAAAGGCCCTGAAGAAGAAGGTAATGTGCTTTAAAGAAACATGGATAAATAGATTCTATCAAATGCTTGCTTACTTATATAAAATTTCAGGTCCTAAAACGGTGAAGTTTTTCTCAAACAAAGAGCACATGTGCTTCAGGTAATGTGAATATTTTCATACCTCTATCTAATTTAGTGATTATTGTGTTTAATAACTCAAACCTCTTTAATACAGCAATGTCAATGATTTCCCTCCAAGTGACACTGCTGAACTAACTGAAGAAAACCTTAAGGTAAGGACTCTTAACTCTTATTCATTTAGTGACATGTTCTGGCCATCTGTTTTGAGACCTCTCTGTTCTAATCTATTTACAGGGAAAACCTGTGGTACTTAAATATGTTAAGTTTCAGAATGTCCGTAGGTAAAGGTTTTACATGTTCTATGTTATATTATATACTTGCTCAACTTAATCACAAGCTCGACCTAACCTTCATCTACCTGATTCTCTAGCTTGACGATCTTCATTGAAGACAACCAATCGGGTTCTGAGCTCACAAAGGTTCAGAAGATTGCTCTCTATGGCTCAACGTAAGTCTCTAACTATCATTTGTTACTAGAATGTTGGTCGTAGACGCTTAGCTCTCTTATACCACAATCGTCTAATTAACAGGGTGGAGACTACTGATATGAAGGGGTTGAAAAAGATTGAAGATCACTAAGCAAACAAAAGGGGATAACCATATGATCATTATCACTTTGATTTCTTGTGTTCTGTTGTCGATTTCCTTCCTTTTTCACTTTAAATTTGAAATAGACTAGAACTTTCTATTGTCATTCAGTTTTAGCAAATTGAGGCAAAACCTTTAAATTTATACTCGGAAACACAGCGGCTACATCACGTTTCTAAGTCCCAAAAACAAAAAAGAACGAAGATCAGCATAATATGTATGTACAATTTCCAAAACTGACAACAAAAAGAAAACCTTAGCTCTCTATGTGGTAAGTTCCTTTTGAAGATTGTTATTACTACTACCTTCTCTTAGACTTTGAAGACATAGGTGCAACGTTCTCTGAACACTATCTGCAACCAACTTGAGTCAAATCTCCAGCAGCAGAACCGTTTACTTCCACCGTACGGCTCACTCTCTGTTTACACTTCTCCCAATCATCAACACGTTGCCAACAAGCCCGACCTCCATGACTTCCTTCCATTCCAAGAAACGTCACCCTAGGATTATCACCGTGTTCTGAGGCCGGTCGTACTGGATATTGCTTTTAGCTACTTCTGTGCCGGAATGATTCTCTAGACATAGCTCGATTCAAGGTCTCTGTGCAGGAGCAGCAGTCTCTCCTGCTACTCGACTTACCTTTAATTTGAGATGCATCTGAGAGACTGTTGAAACGAAGATCTAATTGTAACAGGATAAACCTTTATCCTTTGGTTTAGTTCTTTAATTTCTGGTTTAGCCTTTCGGTTTAGCTTTTTGGTTAAATGAACATTATATGTAGTCTCTTTCTCTTGACTAGAGAATTAATCAAACACAAATATTATCTTCTAAACCCTAAACTCTCTCTCTAATCATCATGGTCATCATCATTCATCATTAAATCTCTGTTCTTCGGGTTGATCCTTCTTCCTTCGTGATCATCCTCTAAGCTTTGGTTTACCTTTCTTAGGATTCTCGGTGAATCCCTAGATAGGATTTATCTTTCCCGTTACACTAATGTTTTCAGTTTCGTCATATTTGACACTGCATGGACACAATTCAAAAAGGTATCATTAGCCATGTTATAAGCCTGCTCACCAGTGTCTCCGCTTGTTTGTTGTCTTTATTTGGGATGCATCTGAGAGGAAATCAAGTCATGAACCAGAGACATCCTTGATTACCATTCGGTGTCTTTTTTAACTATGGAGCAAAGACAGATTTAGAGACTGGTTTTCTAACTCATGGTTGGTGGGTATGAGAGTTCATCAAGCGAGAGGTGTACTACGTGACCACCGATAGAGTCACTGCACTTTACCCTTTTCCAGAGGCAGCAGTCGCTGCTAGGATCATCATGACTCCACGATTTCATCATGCTTTCTTCTTCTACTTCAAAACCATTCTTGAGATACGACTTGAGTTGCAACAGACCCATTCGTTCAGTTTCCAGACAACCGACACATCCTTTCAACTGGAGTTGAAGCATCAATGTTACTATCATGAAGCCATCATCTGCTTCTTCTCCTTAACCCGCCACCAATATCTCTCATTATTATTATCTTTTCCTGTGATACACAAATTAGATAGATTGAAGATTTGTAAGAGGGAACCCTTTCTCAAGCAAAAAAAATAGAGGATTTGTAAGAGGTAGGTCCCAGTATCCACAACGACAAGTCCCAGACAACTAATGATGTCTCTTGACTTTTTTTACCTTGACCATCTTAGGCACTTCCATTGGTAGTGGTCTAGGATTAACGATGTCTCTTGACTTCTCTAGAATTTCGTATCCCGGAGATGTATTTGTGTTTCTTATTGGTTTGATACATTTTCACGTGAACGTTGGGATGACAAATGCGGTTGCAATTGCTGCGGCTGGGAGTCAAAACCCCGGTTTGATCACGATACGTCATGCGTTTTTTGGATCAAACCCGATGATTGACCCAAGCATTTTGGCTAAAGCATTTGCGTTGGACTTGAACATAGTGACATATCTTCAGACAACATTTTCTTCCGAAGATGATATAATTTGTAAACAAGAATTATAATAAAATATGTGAATAAATAATCTGGTGGTCATCTACATTAAATTTGCAATAAGTTGTAAGAGTACAAAAAAAATCTGTGGAGCAACAATGTTATTTTATATATAAAAATTTATAAGATTACTAAACTTTACATGTTTATATTTTTTAAAAATATTTCAGGATGAACTCACACTTTTGATGAGTGAAAATCTTTGTGTTGAAAGATCAAATATCACTGCAAGTTTAGACTATGAATATTCCAAAATTGTTGGACCAGAGCGATCAGGAAGAGCATGTTGCCTAGGACGTGGACCTACACCTTCAAAGCTATTGAAAATGTCCAATACTCCAAATTTAGAAGCGTTAAATTCTGAAGTGGTTGAGCTAAAGTCACAAGTTTCAGAACTGCAAACTCAAGTCTAGAAATTAGTATGAATGATCCAAGAATTAATTGGTGCTATTACTGTTCAGGTTATTTTATACTAATTAGTGTTTTATATTAATTTTTTAGTGTATTATATAGTTTACTAAATATTATTTTGTATATGTAGATTAATGGAGGGGTCCCAAATTTAACTGGTGTTCTGTCAAACTTGGCCAATTAACCAAATTTTGCTGATATTTTATCAAATTTGGTCTATCAACAAAATTCTGAGGTACTTTATGAGCTTTATGTTAAACATTTATTTATTTACTTTAAGTATTATTCTTTAACTCAAAAGAAATAAATCTAATCTGATATTTTTAACAGTGAACCCAAAACAGAGATCATGTGAATTATAGTACAGTGGCAGCATGCACTTTTAGTAATTAAGTTTAAAGCAATGTTTGGATTATTTATTTTATCAGCTACTATGGTTTTTATGTTTGGTTCACGTTTTAATATTAGACTTTTGTATGCATTTTGATATTTATCTGAAAAATAATTTATTTATTTTATATTATTACTAATTGTTATTATTTTAATGAATTTAATTTGTAATTGTTGAATGAAAATATATTAATTCAGTTGCATAAATGATGCGTGAATATTAGTAGAAAGTATATTAAATGATGCAACAGTGATATATTAACATCAATTAAAATAAGTGAGTCAATCTTTTCCAATTGCTTACACAAAAACATTACAATTATTAGTATCAATTGTTATAATTGTTAACACATTTTCCATCGTTTATTAGTAATGCTATTATTAACATCACATATTTCAAATGATATAAAAATGCATTATCTAAAACACCTGATGCAAGTATTTACAACGTTTAAATACTTGATGCAAATAATTAAATCATTTATGCTAAGCGTCACAAATATTTATATCGGTTATGATAAGAGATACATTATAGTATCATTTATTGTGATTCAATGAAAGTATAACCATTGAAACAAAGTCTAAAAAGTTTGAAGCCCTAATGAAAAAACAAGACAAGATGATGTCCATATCCATCATTCAAGCCACACGGACAACCAAGGATCCGCCGGGACAATCTTCTGCCTCCGCGTTTCCACTTTACTTGAGACAAAAGAAACAAAGTGGATCACACAAGACAACAATGGGACTATTCTCTTCGGAGAGTCACTGACTTTCCGTCATGACGGCAATGATGGGATCCTATGCTCGTCTTAACCTCGTCAAGCTCAACGTTCCATCGGTGGTAAGAGCCAACGAGATACCGCCTGAATTGGAGTCGGAGCAAGATGTCGGCGTAGGGGAAGTGAGGTGTTCATCAACTGAAGAATTTACCTGGCTCTCACCACAAGGAATGCGTCGAGAGTGCGAGGGTGAGAGTTAGGGTAACTATTAAGTAAATGAAGCTCATTACTCTTATAAATGATATAAAAATAACGTGTAAGGGATCCGTCGTTCTATAAAAAAAATAATGCGTAAGGGTGATCAGAATCGGGGCTGTCTCAAATAAATTTGATACCATGTTCGCAATTTATTTATGATTTAATGAATTTTTTTTTTAAAATTAATTACTATGTTTGATGTTTCTTTAAAAATTATAAGTTCTAATCTAGCAATATATCTTTTTTAAAAAAAAATTATCATAATTTATCTATATATTTCTTAAAAAATTTTAATTTTTTTTTTATTTTTATTTTATTTTTAGGACTTTATTCGACTGCTCCACTTACACATGCTATTAGACGGCCCTTATCAAATATCTTTGGTATATATATCCGATCCATTTTATATATATAGTTCGCGGCTTGTCTAACTAGTACATTCGTTATGTGGGTAAACCCGACAACAAAGATAATCATATAACTCCAACGTAGTAGTTTCCACACATATATATTTGTCAAGAACCAAAACCTATTAGTTTTTAGTGAATGCGGCAGATACAGATCATCGTTTCAGTTTTTACCCGATGTGGATATTGCTTGAGGTCGGTCAGTACAACATCCATAGTAATTCCATTTTAGGAGAAAGAAACACTTTATGGTTTACGCTGCTTAATTTTCAATAAATGCTAAATCATTTGTAGTAAAACTGTATTCATTAAATATTTTTTGTTTTATATTATAAATCATATAATCTGATATTCTTATATTGTCTTCAAACGTAGTAGTTTCAACACACATATATTTGTCAAGAATCAAAACCTATCAGTTTTCAATAAATGCTAAATCATTTGTAGTAAAACTATATTTCGTTAAATATGTTTTGTTTTATACATATAATCTGATATTTTTATATTATGACTCATAACGGATATTTTTATACATATAAATGTTATGACTCATAACGGATATGGGAATCAACATCAGACAAATACGCAGTGTGAACTCCAGATCCCCACGGTGTGGTTTTACTTCCCTTCTGAAGTTCCCAGAGATCCCTGAAGTGTTGGTCACTTATTTTCACATCCCAACACATACTTCCAGGTGTACCAAGCTGCAAGCATATATGTTGCCATGAATCAATTAGAGCAAATGGAAGCCGGAACCATATATCTGAAAATGCATCTCTTAGTCCCATTTCCTCAACATATTGAATATCAAGTGCCTCCATCTGACTAATTAGTTTGGCATGCTTTATAAACAATGAAGAATGTCTGACCACATGGAGAAGAGCATAGACAAAAACGCTTGAAGGTTCGTTCCATTTGTTTGCTTCAGCTATGAGATACCCGTAGCTGCAAAATCTCAACAGCAGAGGGAACATCACAGACAGGAGCACGAGCTTGCTGTAGACCTTCATGCATGAAAGAGCGAATCCGAAGCTTGTGTGAAGCATATATCATGAGCTGATAATGTGGCCCCGAGGTCTTGTCTTGACAGGAAGTCATTTAAGGAACCTGCAGCCAACGGTGAATAAGCGGCTTAACAAGATTATGATTACACACACACATACACACACAAACATCAATATACTATGAAATATTAGTGGAACGTTGATCTAAAGTAGCCACCTCTGAATTTCAACACTAAAGTCAGTTTTTCATCATATATGAGGAGATAACAGAAACTCGTGATTAGCCTACTTGGAATGTTTAGTTTCATCAAATATTGTCACTAACCAGAAAGTAGACACTACAAAGAGTAAATATAGTGTAATCTTTTCTAGCCAGATGCACCAATGATAACAAATGATCTTCTTCTATGTACCAATCCGTATCCTTAAAAATCCATTAATGGTAATAACAGAGAAACTAAACTAAACCAACCCCAAGACAAAGTGCTCAGCGTTTTCTACACTGTGTAAAGCAGTTAAAAACGAAAGTAACACTATATATCCACATTAGCCGAACTAAAAAATCTAAGTATGAAATGCTAACCCAAACAACAAAAGTAGCTTCCAAAGTGTAACCAAAACAACAAAACCTCATCAAAGTCACACAAAAGTAGATTCCAATTTCATGCCCAGTCCTTAAATCATGCCACGACACGAACTCAAAACCCATATATAATCTCCAACTCAACAAAAGCTTCGAACTTTAACATAAACCCACAAAACCCCAAAACGTTAAAAAAAAAAGGAAAAAAAAAACACATAAAGGAACGATTCATCCGCGGCTCGACCAATCCACTGTCTGTTGGCCTAACCCGCCATCGCGGACGCAAATTCGCCACCGCCTGATTCAGAAACTTGGGAGGTTCGTACAATTTTCAAAATTAGTTTTTTTTTCCTCTGTTTCCAGTTACCGGATTTGATTCGGACAAGAGAGAGAGACAGAGAGAAAGTGAGAAAATCTGTTTCTTTGTGGGTCCCTCTTTGATCCACGTAAGCAGGAAGTCACCGGTACTACGTAATAATGGGATTTACCATTTATTGACTAAGAAAGTTACATTAACCGTGGTAATTTTCCAAAGTTGAAATATTAAAAGCTAATTACGTAACTCCAACAAATATAATCAATGCCCATTAATCTCTACCAAAAGGTTAAACAATTTGTGGAAACTCTCTTTTACTCTTATCTAAATATATATCACAAATAACTTAAAATTACATTAGATACTTATCAAAAGAAATTAAATAACAAAATCAGAGTTTGTATATATTACCTCAAATTTAATTTCTTTTTATAACACTTAAACTTTATTAATTTTGATTTGAGTTTACATAGTCATTGTGAATTTTTTTTATTTTGAGAAAACAAAACTGAACTTTAAACAAAACAAAAACTTAACATCCAATTTATCTTGAATGTAACCACCAATTTTCTCTGGATGGTTAATATAAAAAAAAACTTAAAAAGTGATGCTTATCAATCGGAAATTTAATTGGAGATTAAGTTATAGAACGTATCTTTATATCTTGCATCGAAACTGAGTTTTAATCTTTCTACGTAAAAAATTAAAATTCAAACACAAAATCATGATAAAGGTAAAACTGTTCACGTTTGTGACAATGTTGATATTAGTATGTGTATCTGGTTGCAACACCGAACAAAGATATCTGTGCTATCCTGGACTGATATCAGGTGATGAAGGACACGGTCGTCAACCACCCATACCAGCAAATCCATATAGAAGAGGATGCTCGCCGTCTCAGAGATGTCGACCATTTCATGTAAAATCTCTGTCAAATATTAATATTGTGGAGAATAATAATGTAAACACCGGGTGATTACATAATAATGAATAAAGCTGTTAAGAGTATTTTGTTGTGTTTACGCTAGTTTTCTACCATTACGGAAGCAAACAAAAAAAAAGTATTTTTAGCGAATATAATGTTTTGCAATCTAACAAGTCCCAACACTAAACTTTAAATTTGAAGAAAAGTATAGTATGACAGAATATCTTCAATCACATGAAGAAAAAAATCTTGAAACCAACCATTTAGGATAAAAGTATAAATTAAACATTTGATTAGTCAAAATGATGTAATCCAGTTGAGAGGGACTCTTATCTACCAGGCTGATATTTCTAAAAACAATCAATTACAATTAGCCTCTCATCATCCCCTGCATCGCGATATCCGAAGATACAATGTTTTAAACCGTCTGATCAGATGGCTATGACCAGTAAGCTTCCGTCCAAAGGTCATCGAACGGTTCTTATGCAGACAGTTCCCACCGAAGTCTCATCCCCCACATCACATCATTTTAATATCATATGGAAGCAGCCTTAATGATATTCCAAATTATTATCATTTCTCGTATTTTGTTATTTATACGAAAATCAATTTAATTTACTAGAAAACTGCATAATTCCAATGTTGAAAACTTATTTTCAAATCAGAGACCAAAGCAAGCTTTGTAAAGAATATCTTTAAACTCTATAATCAATTGAATAACAACAATTTGAAGGATATATATTTCATATATATTCATTTGATCCAATCCAACCAGTTTTGAACACGATTCTATGGATAAATGATACATCAATGCACGTGTACACATCTGACGTACGTGTTTATATCACCATGGTTTGAGCACGTTATCTCTAACTTCTAGAAATCAATTGACAAAATCACAAGGCAAACATTAGCATATTAATTATTGAATGATTCTTTGTCAACATTATAATAATGTAAATAGTTAATTACTGGTACAGTTCTTGTATACATAATATTTATAGATACATGCATTAGACCACCAAGAAGACAAAAACTGATCAATCATGAAGATCATACTTAGCATAACCCTCATATTGTTATCATACACGGTGGCCGGGCAACAATGCGGCAGCCAAGCCGGGGGAAAAACTTGCCCCGGCAACATCTGCTGCAGCCAGTACGGCTACTGCGGCACCACGGCGGACTACTGTTCACCGGATAACAAGTGTCAAAGCAATTGTTGGGGCAGTGGGCCAAGCGGCCCTGGAGAGAGCGCGTCGAACGTACGCGCTACCTACCACCTCTACAACCCGGCGCAGAATAATTGGGATTTGAGAGCCGTGAGTGCCTATTGCTCCACATGGGATGCTGATAAACCATACGCGTGGAGGAGCAAGTATGGCTGGACCGCCTTCTGTGGACCGGCTGGTCCTCGTGGTCAAGCTTCTTGCGGCAAGTGTTTAAGGGTAAGTGCTTTTGATTCTTTTACAAGTTATAGATCATGCCTTTGTTTCAATTCAGTTTGCTTTTGTTCATAACTAAGACCAATATATTGTTTTAGTGTGGATAGAAAATGTTTTACACACTCCAACTAGTTTTTTTTTTTTGCTTCTAAAGAGAGCGTTTTATTTTCACTTTAAATGACATTTTCATAATAACATTAATTTAAAAAAAAATTATTTAATATTTAGGTTTGAGTTTAATGATTAGAGTTTACATTAAGTATTTAAAAGGTGAAGTTAGAGTAAAAACCTAGGGTTTGGAGTAATTTAATCATTTAATTTCTAATTAGTGTTATTTTAGAGACTTTTATGTGCTATTTTTGACATATTTTGTGATATCTAAGTTTTTCCCTGTATATATAACACATTATATTGACTCTTAATGATGTCAATTGTGGTGTGTTAGTGAATTTGAAGGAATCATATATAAGCATATTTTTGTAATTAATCATAAGCTAGTTTTTAAAACCGGTGTAGTTAACTGCTCATCCTTAATGGATGCAGGTGAGGAACACAAGGACTAATGCAGTTGTAACGGTGAGAATAGTGGACCAGTGCAGCAATGGAGGATTGGATTTGGACGTTGCAATGTTCAATCAAATAGATACCGATGGTGATGGCTATCGGAAAGGCCATCTCATTGTTGACTACCAGTTTGTTGACTGTGGCAATGAACTCATTGATCAGCCTGCTGATTTCAAAAACATCCTTGTTCCCGCCACTGATCGCGTTTGATATCATGTAATGATGTTCAAGATCAATAATCAACACATAATATAATAAAAGACCTCAACGTCGAGTGATATATGCTTGTGTTGTTCTTGGCAGTTCTTAATATTATCAATAAAGAAATGTTGAATTTTTGAATATTACTATAGATTTTAATACCACTACTAGTGCATATCTAGCTACTATGCATAACTAAGGAAGCCAATGGAAGATATCGCATAGTTAGATGTTTAGAAAGTATTTGGATTATTCTTTAAAGTATGGTCATGAACCAGGTTTAACTTCCACGGTTTTACTATATAAACGGTGGTCTTAGCTTTTGCTAAAAAAAAATGCTCAAAACAAAAACGGTGGTCTTAGCAAAGACGTTCATGCGTACCGCCGTTGAGGCAGAGTTATGGGCGTTGTTTTGGGCAGTGGAGTGTATGCATAACCTGCGTTTCTCTAATATAATCTTTGAAACCGCGTCTGACATCCTCCATGATGTTATCATAGATACCGACTACCAACAAACCTTCAGCCATATACGTCACAACATTTTCTTTCTCCTCTCACGGATACGCTCTTGGAGTTTAGAACACGTTCTTCCTGATCGCAATGTATCGGCTGCGTCAATTGCTATAAGTGTTACTCGGGACCTACGACACCAATCTTACATTGCCCGACTGGGTCCGGTATGGCTCCATCNTTTTTTTTTTTTTTTTTTTTTTTTTTTTTTTTTTTTTTTTTTTTTTTTTTTTTTTTTTTTGTAACAGTACGTTTTTACTTATATTGAATATTCACATGGTAAGTCCTCTCTTCCCTTGTATCTATGATCTTGTTACGTAATTATTAGTCAGAAGAAAAACAAATTTTCTTTTATACTTTGTTCACTAAGTCTTCATCTATAGTGTAGACTATAAAGTTATTTGATTTAAATACTCCTCATACGGATCTAGAACATGGTATTAAACCTAACTTTAATATGAGGGCACAACTACAAACTTTAAACTTGACGGAGCATTATCATAGGATTTGAGTTAATTACTTCAAAAAAACTCAAGATCTAAACTGAATGTTTAAACAAAATAAAAAATTAGTTGGGGGCATGTGACTCCGCCCCTGCTGATACATGTGTTAAATAAATATAACCATATTTGCATTAATGTATAATCTATATGATGAAAATTTTTCCTTTTATTTTTTTCTTCATTACTTATAATTGAAGAAAGTTAAACAGCCATGGAATTTGTAACAAACGACTAGAAAAGTCTTCCAACAATAGGAAGTACATTGAATATTCAAGTCAAGGCCAAAGAAAAGTACACACACTGATGATCCACATCTTATATTAGGCTAAGTTAGTAATTTTATACTATCCTACTTTCTATAAATAGAGTTTGATCAAATACATTATTTTATCCACCACATCTTTAAACTCAAAAACAACATAGAGAAAACATGTCAAGACTTAGCATATGCCTGTTTGTGTTGCTATGTGCGTTTGCTGCGAAATCAGCCGCTCAATCCGCTACCAACGTAAGAGCAACTTACCATTTCTACAACCCTGCACAAAACGGGTGGGATCTTTACAAAGTAAGTGCATATTGCTCAACTTGGGATGGGAACCAACCACTTGAGTGGCGTCAGAAGTACGGCTGGACAGCTTTCTGTGGTCCGGTTGGACCGACCGGTCGTGACTCTTGCGGTAAATGCTTGAGGGTAAGTCAAATTATCAATTTCAAATAATGTTGAAAAAATCATTAGGCCGTAATTATAAGTTTATAAGTTATATATAGTTTAATACATATATGGATGCATAGTAACCAGTACCACAGAGACCAATTTTTAATCTATTTTTAAAAATCTGTCTGGAAAATCATTTCGCCTATGATCGGTTTGCCAGCTAAACCGATACCATGTTACTTTTGGAAATGCCCTAGTAAAAAAAGTGGTGAATCGTGCATATATATATATATATATCATTTTATTTAGTACTGTTTTAGTGTCTAAAAAGTATCATTAATAAGCAACAAAAACATTATAACGCAAACGCAGGTGACGAATACTGGGACTCAAGCGCAAGCGACGGTGAGAATCGTGGATCAGTGCAGTAACGGTGGTTTAGACTTGGATGACGCCGTTTTCAAACAGATTGATACAGACGGACAAGGATACGCTCGTGGCCACTTAATTGTCAACTACGAGTTTGTCAACTGTTGAAGATCATCGAATTCAAGTTCATCTAATGATCTTTCTCATATCATGATCTCCCTATTATTATCTTTAACTAATAATGTTAATCAAAGAAAATAAATGTCTCGATCTTTCATAATAAAGATAAATAAAATAAAGTGATTTAAGTCTACATACGAAATACAATATAACATCTTTAAATTAATACTCTATAAATTAATATACATTAAAAATTTCTATAAAATAATATAATTTATAATTGTAAATTAAATTTTTAATTCAATTAATATATCGATAAATTAATAAAAAATTACAATTTTGATTTAGTTTCAACAATATTAATTTATAAAAATTTCACTTTATCTAACACACGGAGACTTAATAGACATAAACATGTGTCCACTCTAATAAATGATCAATCTTTATCACCTCAAAAACTTCCGATCAATTTCCACCACAAAGCTTGTAAAAGCCGCCATAGACATCTCCCAAAACTAGTAATTTTATTGAAAATTCAAATCCTAAGTGAATTATTCACAACGGTCCAAACTTTTTTTAGTATAGCAATTCCCCTATAAATCTCTTCGTCCATCTTTGATTTGTAAACAACAAAACATAAAAAGATAACCAATGGCAAGACTTGGCATATGTGTGCTCATTTTGCTATGCGCATTTGCCTCTAAAGCAGCTGCTCAAACAGCTTCTAACGTAAGAGCTACTTACCATTACTACTATCCCGAGCAAAACGGTTGGGACCTTTACAAAGTAAGTGCGTATTGCTCGACGTGGAAAGGAGACCAACCTCTCGAATGGCGTAGGAAGTATGGCTGGACAGCTTTCTGCGGTCCGGTTGGACCTCGTGGTCGTGATTCTTGCGGAAGATGCTTAAGGGTAACCACATCTCCAAAAACAATATTTTATTCCATTTTATAATACTGTAAATATGAGATTACTTCAAAAATTAAATTAAATATTTTTTATTTATTTATTAATGGGACTGAAACTCTATCACATTATTAAATTATTCTATTTTGAAAGAGAAAAAAATAAAATAATATATTGAATATAACTAAGTTAATTCATCACAAGCGGTTCGAAAACACATTTTCCACATTAAAAAACTGATTTGTCCTCGCGTTACGCAGGTAACGAATACTGCGACCGGAGCACAAGCTACTGTGAGAATCGTGGATCAATGCAGTAACGGCGGTTTGGACTTGGACGATGGCGTTTTCAAGCAGCTCGACACCAACGGTCAAGGATACGCTCGTGGGAACATGATTGTCAACTATGCCTTTGTCAATTGCTAAAAAGATCTTCAAGTCTCCTCCAAAGTGCAACGTCTTGCATCTTATTATCAGCATCACCTTTAACATGTTAATGTAAGATAAAATAAATACCACGAGCTCTCACTCCTTTATAGTAAAGATAAATCATAATTGTGAAAAAAAATAAATCATAATTGTGTGTATGTGTGTAACCTACTGAGAAATAAAGAGATATATCAACAGTGATTTATGTCAATTTTATAGCACCCAATATTCAAGAAGCGTTAGGCTCTATGAGATTTACTGATTAGGTGGACAATTCTATTGATTTTAAACAATTTTCTAAAACGTTAGACTAAATTTTTAAAAATTCATTTATGCATACTGCCTAACCAGTTTTAGATCATCAATATCACCAATAACTGTTTGAGCAGATTAGATTTCGTTATAAAAAGTATGTTAAATACTCTTTCCGTTCCTTAAAAATACATATCTTAGAAAAAAAAAATTGATTCTAAAAGATCAATTTTTTACATTTTCAATGAATGTTTTATTAACTAATTGTAAATTTCAAAATACTTAATTGCACTAATTGATTTTTTATTGATTTAAAATTATGGATAGAAGATAAATACAAAAAACTATGCAAATTTATTATGTTTTCTTAAAACATGTGAAAAAACTAGAATATGAATCTTTTAGGAATAGATGGAGTATAAAATAACATTTTACCATTTTAAAAATATTAAAACTGTAAATCCAAAGAAATGACAGAATCTTAACACAAACAAAACTTTGTTCCTGAAGTTTTTAGCACACTTAAAGTGAAAAGAGGCAACTGCATAAGGGGAGACACCAAGGTAAGAAATCAAAACTTCATACAGATACTAAACAGAGCCATCTCTCAGAAGATCTTATGATTTGTCCTTTATCTTGTCCTTGCCGTGAAACTTCCTTCCAGCATCTACAGCTTCTCTGTACGTAGAAGAAAGAAAAGACACATCAATTTTCTTGAAAGAAAACGATAAGAACAAAACATCATGAGTGTTTCAACCAAACCTGAATGCATCAATGAGCTCTTTGCTTTCAGGACTCAGCAACACTCCCTCGTAAAAAGCATTGGCTGCCTCATCAAATCGCTGGAGATTTCACAAATAAGTCAGTGATTTATACCGTTTCGATGTTCAAAAAATCAATGAAAGTGAGATGGTTTTTTACCTGTAGGAAACGAAGAGCAGCGCCTTCTCTGAAACAAGCTTTAGGCCAGTCAGGTTTTAGTTCTCTGCAGGCTTTAGCATCGGATAATGCATGCTCACCTTGTCCTAACAGCAACCAGCAGAGGCTTCGGTTTGAGAAGAAGGTATGATCCGTCGGGTCAAAATCAATCGCCTTTGTTCAAAGAAAATGCCAAAAATCACAAAAATGGACATAACTTAAGAACTTTCTTGTGAGTTTTAGTGTTGAATACTTGTGTGTAAGCGTCAATGGCCATCTGGTAATCCTTTCTGTAGAAGGCGTCTTGTCCTCTTGCTTTTGCTTCTGCAGCTTTCGCCTTAGCTTCTGGTGAGACCTGTGGAAGTATTTTATCAGTATGATTTTAAAAAACTTGATGTAAGAGAGATGCATGTTGATCAAAGTTACCTCAGGAAGGTCTTTCTTGATCACTGTGTCTCCAGATTTTGCACCGTTTGAGTTGTTCTCCTGTTCTTTGTTTGATATGTGAGCAAGAACTCCATCTACTGACCAATCTGAAACAGATTCAGGTTTTGTTGTCAAGGGGAAGAGAGTCTCAACAATCTTTCTGTTCTCTCTAAAAGCTGCAACTTCAAATGGCCTACTGCCTTCCTGAAAATCAAAGAATCTGCGTTCATATAGGATCAAAGTGAAACAAAAGAGAAGGCTTCATCGCTAAAAAGCTGTTTTACCTCGTCTTTTTGATTGGGATCAGCTCCAGCTTTAAGTAAACAGTTGATTAACTCAAGATCTCCAATATCAGCAGCAATGTGCAACGGTGTTGCTCCACCAGCGAAAACATTAGCTTTGGCACCTGCCTGTAATTAACAAAATAAGATGTATATAGCAACTAAAACAAGACAACACTGCAAATTAGGAACATCTCAAACCTTGACCAACAGCTCTAAGCATGCCACAGAACCAGCTGCCACTGCAGATAACAATGGTGTGACATTATCATCCGTCTCAGCGTTAGGCTGCAGGAACATGAAACAAAACAAACTTTTAGGTTCATTTAAAACTACGGTTTACATAGAATAGAGATATACACAAGAGTTTACATCGGCTTTGTGTTCTAACAACACTTCCACCGCATCTTTTTGGTCATGACCAGCAGCCCAGATCAATGGCGTGCCAGACTCGCTTTGAGAATCAACAGGAACACCTCTAGACAACAACTCCTTTAGCAACTCAATTTCCCCTAATGATAAGCAAAACACAACACTTTTGTCACCTGAGAAGAAAGTGAAACGAAATAAACAACATAGTAACTAACAACCAACCTGTCCCAGCAGCATGATGCAATGCAGTAGCTCCTAATTCACTAGCGATATTAGGATCAGCTCTGTGATCTAAAAGATACTTCGCAGTTCCAATCTGTCCTTGCCTCGCAGCATGAACAAGTGGAGTGTCCCCTGAAACATCATCACAATCTCAAAGATCAAGTCTCAAAGTAGTAATGATAGAGCCATGAAATTAAAGGAAACAACAAACGAACCAGCTTCATCTTTTGTATCAGCGTCAAGCTTCAGCTCTTCCAAGAGATACCTGCATATCTCAGTCTGTCCTTCCCTTGCAGCGAAATGAAGCGCACCACGTTTGTTAGCGTCTTTGACACTCTCCACAGTTGTCTTCAAGCCTTTTCCTTCATCAAGCTGCTTAGCAACATCTGCTTGGTGAAAGCTACATCAGATCCAAGGGGATGATGCAATATATTACATAAGGGCGTTAAATGTGATTAACGAACTCACTTTTAAGGAACTCAAGGTTTCCTGTACAAGCTGCATTCAGAAACTGCTGAACTTTCTCCCTCGCTAGAATAACAATTCAAAAACAAGAATTAAGATTCAAAGTGTCAAACTTTCAATACCCAATTAATAACACTGAGTCTCAATTAGTGTTGGAGTTTCTCAGGTTTCAAAACTTCACAAAAAGGAAGAAGAAAAGTGAGCAAAGAAATTTAAACAAAAACGAACTTTCTTCATCAGATTAGTTAAGCCAGAGATAAGTATCGGAACCCATCAAGGAATCATAGTTGCATTCAACGACAAGAGATTAAGGAAGAGAGCAGACCTGCAAGAGCAGTAGAAGCATCAGGAGCCATGGCAGATAACAAAACTTGTTTCTTTGATGAGTTAATGGAACTTTGAAGTGGGTTTGAGTATCTGAGTTAGCTCCGTTCGCCGACACCGGACTTTCTGTCTGAATAACAGCAACCTGAAGAAGGTTTTGTCTTCTAGGTTTTAGGAAGACTCAGAAATGTTTTTTATCTTTCCATAAATTTTACTTTTACACCCTCACATTTATTCAACTATTACAAAGCACACCTATTAATTTTGTTTTATTAAAATACACCCTGAGTAGTGACTAATAACGTTATGCAAATTGGCTCAAATTATAGGAGTAAGAATTTCTCATTTTATAATTATCCAATCCAAGACCAATATCGAAATCTTTTTTTTTTTTTGCATACAGTTTATGAACAAGAAAGACTATTTGTTTTCTCATCTTTTGTTCCCTCTGCACAAAGTATATATACACAACCATAAATCTTCTTCTCTATCTCTGTATGCTTTTCTTGTTTCTTCAGAATCTTGATTAAATGATTCTTGAACTTCCTATCTCTCAACAGAAAATCTGAGTGACTGAATCTTACAATCACATATCAATAAGTCTGCATCACAGAGCATGCAACTGCTTGTGCCCAATGTCTCAACCTCTGCTTCACTTGTTGAGGATTGTCCCCTGCCAAAAAATAACACTCAAAAACTCATGACTCTGATCATTGTTATATCCAAAAATCAGCAGCATTATGATTTTTTTTGTTACCTGGACATACTATCTTCAATGAGTCTGAATCAGTTTTCTTGGGACTACCAGGTATACTCAAAGAGAAAGCTGATGCAGATGCACTGCTACTACGGCTGCTGCTGCTAGGTGAAGGGAGAGGAGATAGCTGACGGTTCACTGCAAAGTAAAGATCAAGAGCTGGTAATGTATTACATAGCTTTTGTCCAGCTTCTTCATTGAAACCGAAACCTAACTCTATAGATCCTTTAAGCTCGTTTAAATCCTCATCTGTTAGTTTAGTCTGTTCACTAAGATTGTCTGAAACTCCTTTGTGAAGCATCTTCTTCTCTTGAATCATTATCATCTGACGTCTTCTTCTTTCCCAAGCAATGTCTCGTGGTGTCTCCAACATAGATATTTGTTTTGCTAAACGCTTTTTTGGTTTTTGTGAGGACACTGGCGTTGTTGCTGCCGTTTTGGCCTCGCCTAGGGGTGGTGTTAAGACTGATAACGTAAGGTTTTCTCTTCTTCTCACCATTTTTTATATATATATATATCACTTGACGTGTTGTGAAGATGTGGCTTGTGAATGCAACTTTAGGGTTCTTCTTTCTTGGTTTTGTTACTATCAAAGCGTTTAAGGCTTCTGAATGTTGTGTGTTTAATGTATGTTCTTTGTGAGATGGCCGCGTTAGAACATGTTACGCGGCCAACAAAGAGGTTAAAGTGGGTCGGGTTGATCAGATATGTGTTTCTTTTTTTTATGCCCTTTGTTTCTTGTTAGGTTTTGCCCAACCCGACCAGATAAACTTTGAGGAGACTTGTGGTGCTTTAATGGAGGATGTCAAGTTAGTTTCCACCATTGAATTCTATGTGATGGTTAGAGTCCAAAAGCTATTTTCCTCCATTTGATGATTGACTCAACCATATCTTTAGGGAATACTTTGTTTAGGTTATTGACCATTCCAAGAAAAGAGTTATAGAAACTATCTTAGTCTGTTTCGATTAACTCAACTTTCTTTACAACTTATTGAAACAATATGGTTTATGAGTTTCTATATTTAGAAACGAATCCATGTTGTATAACATATGTGCCAAAGGAAAAATTACAGGTTTTTAAAACTTCTCCAACCATATGCTAAACATAGTTTGATCGGGTAATCCTTTCCTATATGTATTCTCTAACGACTTCAGCTTCTCTTTCAGACATAAAACCAA